GCTGATGAGATACCTTTACTCGCACACTCGAAGTGTAGATTTGATGTGACACTACTTAGCAATACCTGACTGTGTTATGTTTGACTAGCACTATCCTGAACACTATGAGATTTGATGAGTTTGGAGGTTTGGCTCATATGGAGAGCTGCTCATACGGTTGAGCTTTCATAACTGTTTTTGAAGTCAGCTGTTATTATGTTATCCAGCTCAAGACATAAGGATTTTATACAAGCAAAATGTTGGTCAAAATCTGGACATTTTTACAAATTGCTAATTACTTCTGCACTTATTACTCCTGGGGAAAAGTAATCTCAGTACTCACTACTTTATTTCTATATTACTCTCTAAAACCTACTTACATTTATACCAACTTGAATTGAAACTTTATTTAGCAAGAAACCGCCAATCACAGTAAACATCATTTAAAAGGCATGTCACTGTCCCTGCTTTTGAACGTTTGATTAAAGTGATGAATGGCTAATGCTGTTTGAAAGCCTAGAAACTAGCCGTTAAAATAAGCCATTAAAATCTTAAAGAATAATATATTAAGCTTACAGATCATGAAATTTTAGCTAACAGGTAATTGGTATATCAATAATTGCAATTAACAATTTAATAGTCTTTTCTTGTTTGTTGTTTTAAACTATTAAAGTTGTCACTTTGTCAGTTTGCTAGCTGTTTATAGTAGCAAACACTGGTTGTACTGTTGGATCAATACTGCACACTCTCACAAATGTCTACACTTGCACAGATTTATGTGTAGAGTTAAGCTAAGATATATATTCCTCACCAGATTCTGCTAGCAAACATGCTAAAAACGTTAGAATTAGCTATATAATGCCTCAGTGAATGTATTTATCATTTATTCACCTCGACTCAATACACCCAATTCACATTTTGTTTGTTGCAGCATAATATTACTGTGAAATCTAAAGACTGTGGAAAATGATTGCAGTCAGCTTAGGTTGCGATCATCTCAAATAATTGTGATCATCTCAAATTATTGCAGTTAGGCAATTATGTAATAATTGTAACAGGCCGTCTTACAGAGCTGTTTCTAAATGAAAATAAGTCTGACCAAAGCCCAATCTCAGGATCCCATCAAAATGAATTGTTCAGGTGTTTAAATTACCTTTTTTCAATGTGCTTTCAAGTATAGTTGGAAAGGAAAACTTTTAAATCATTGCTTAGACAAAGCCTGCTGGTCAAACCAAGAAATATTCTTTCATGAACATCACAAGTGTTGAACAATAATAGCCAAAAGTAGCCTATTAGTAAATGGTGGTTTTATGTTAATGGAACTTGCAGGTAGTGTTTCTTATCTAACTGAAAAATAACAGTGAAATCATTACTCAAAATCTTTCAAAAAAGGACAGAAGTCCTCAAACTGTGGAGCAACTGTTTCTGATTGAGACTTATTATGACATGAGTTTAAAAGCCAGTCGCTTACAAGCACATACTCAGAATATTACTGCTTGTTAAACTATTATGTCCATATCTGGCATTGTAAATTTTTTTTCTTACTTTACCTAAAGAAATCCATTAGTCAAACCATATGGTTAAAAAGAGAGATTTAAATCCATTTTTTAATTTGGTCACACAAGATTAATCAGTAGAATCAGTGGGAAATCCAAATTGTGAACAGTAACCAAATTGTTGTACAGTATGCATACAGAGTACAGACTACAATAGTGAAGCTGTTACAAATGCTCACTCTGATACATACAGAGACCTTCCTTCTGTTGCATACATTTTGTTTTATTCCTTAATTTCAAGGGAAATGTGGTTATATCTGCCTTTTAATCTACGTTTCTTCTTTGATAGTGTGACGTCTTAATGCTTGTCTTGCATTCATTTTGGTATGTAAAGAACACGATCTACCAGATTTGAAAATTTGTACATTTTTTTTTGTCACAATCAGTGCTGAGGGTAACACTGTTTAAGGTTTACAGTTACAGTAACAGGCTACAGGTGACACATTACACTTACTGACTTCATAAGAATTTTGTTACTTGCATTGCTCATGTGCCTCTAAGAAAACAGTGTTATGTAAAAATGTAAGTTTCCACTGGATTGATTATTCATTTGTGTGCAAATGTGCCAGTGCAGAAAGTGCCATAAACAAAACCAGCAATCTGTTGAAGCAGCTAATTACGCTAATATGAAACTGATGGATAAGGTCCCTGTGCCGAAAAAGAGTGAAACTCAACATCACCTACACAGATCTCACCCACTCACTGATCAGGAACATCTTTAAGCTTTACATAGTTTCTCGATGTATTGCTATTAGTACATTAAGTATTACACATTAAGTAAGATAATAACCCTTATAAAGGGTTTACAAATAGTTTAAAATCTGTTTATTATCGGTTATTAGTAGGGTAATAAACACCTTATAACACATAAATAAAAATAGAAATGGTAATCTATTGCTTGCCAAAAAGTGAGTCCACATTCATCTGCACTGTTAAAGCTCAGACCTTGCTGGTCACTTATCTTACTTCTCTGTCAGTCAGTATACCTGTAAGCTTCATTTTAAGGTGTTTAAGGTGTCCGAATTAATAACAATTAATAAACTAGTTTCATACCATTGGTAAACCCTTTATAAGGGTAGTTTTAGTGTAAAGTGGTACCATTAAAAGCAAAACTTTCAGTTTATCCCTTCTGCTGTGTGATTTATTTTTACACTGTAATTCTGTCTCATGTTTGTTGGGGTGAATGTTGTCCACGAAAAAAGGGGACCTGATGGAACTTTAACCTGCCGACTGATCTGGGATCTGCTTTTAGAGCTGAGTCTGGCTTCTGAAGCAGCCGCCAGCTGGCTGACGAGCATGAGCTGTTTGTTTGGTGGGGAAAAGTGTGTGTGCATGTGTGCGTACGGGCCTCCGGAGGGGACGGAAATGAGACAGCGCTGCCGTGGGTGATGACTGGAGACGCCTCCTCCACAGCTAATTAACTTCATGCTTGATGGACTGGGGTGGCTCGACAAAGTTCAGAAAAGAAACCGAACGCAGTCTGAGCTCAGACTCAACAGTTGGGCTCCAACTCAGCTGGGATTCTGTTGCCGCTGCAGTGCTGCAAAGAAAAAGAAAAAAAAAGCACGTCTAGACGACAAGATGATTCTGCGGAGGTGATTACTAACTACACAGGAAACTTAATCAGACAAACTAATCACTGGGAAATGGGGGATTGTACTTATTGGGATTTTGTGCTGTGGTGTGCGTTCTGCTTGCACGGCTGCCTGAGAAGTCATTACTCCGTTCATTTGACTTCACTTTTTTTAACCGCAGTGGCTACTTTTTCATCTTTTTTCCAGTTACGCCCTTCTCAAGAAAGCATAATACACAACAAAGAAATAAAACAAAATGAACAGGTTGAACCTGTTGTTTTCATAAGGCAGACTGTAGATGCCTCATAATCTCTGAGCTGTTTTAGGAGTAGTTTGATGAAAAAGTTCATGTACACATTTTCCTCTTACCACAAATTTCATTGATCAGCCATGAGATGTTTGGTGTCTGAAATTGTTCTTTTAGTTTTGCAGTATTTACTCTATTTTTGCATATATGTTACACTAAATCGTTTAAGATACAATCATTTAAAAACAAAATATAAGACAAAAGTAAACAAAAGCAAACACAAAACACATTTTTATTGAAGGAAAAACATTTTGCAACACTTGTCACCTACTGAAAGAGCAATTGACCCCTAAACTTAATAACTTATTGTGCCACATTTAGCAGCAACACCTGCAACCAAATGCTTCCTAGAACTGGTGATCATTCTTTCACTTCACATCACTGTCTTTCACTTTTACTTCACATCACTGTGGAGGAATTTTGGCTCACTCATCAGAATTGCTTTAACTCTGCCACATTGGGGGGGCTTCCGACCTAAACTGCCAGTATAAAGTCCTGTATCTCAATGGGGTTGAATTCAGGATGTTGACTAGGCCAATCCAGAACCTTAATATTGTTTATTTTGAGCTATTTAAAGGTGGACTTGCTCATGTGCTTCAGATTGTTGTCATGCTGCATAACCCAGTTGTGCTTGAGTTTCTGATCATGGACTGGCAGAATTCGTAGTTCCATTAATTGTGGTGTCCAGGCCCTGAAGCAGCTAAGCATTTCCACACCATCAGACTAGAAATACCATGTTTGACTGTTGGTATGTTGTTCTTATTGTGGAATGCATTACGCCAGATGTAAAAAGACCACTGTCTTTCAGAAAGTTCCACTTTTGACTCATCAGTCGCAGAAGAAGAGGCTTGGAGATCATCAAGGTGTTGTTGGCAAATGTGAGATGAGCCTTTCTGTTCCTCTTGGTCAGCAGTTATTTTCTCCTTGCAACTCTCCCTTGGATGCCATTTCTGCATCTTTCAAGTGGAATCATGATTGCTGACCTTATCTGAGGTGAACAAGGCCTGCAGTTCCTTGGATGTTCCTCTTGGTTCTTTGGTGGTTTGCTGGATGTTCGCTGTACTCTTGGAGAAATTTTCATAGGCCAGCTACTTCTGAAAAGGTTCACCACCACCAAGTTTTCTCTTTTTTTTCTGTCTTGAGACAGTAACTCTCACTGTGGTTAGCTGGAGTCTCAGGGCCTCAGAAATGGTTTTGTAACCCTTTCCAAATTGATATATTTAAAAAAAAAACTCTTTCTAGTCTCTTCCGGAATTTCTTTTGATTGCAGCATAGTGCGCTGTTTGTTGAGATGTTTTAGCCTTTTTCATGTTGCTGGAATGGTTCTATTTAAGTGATGTTAGATTTTACAAATCTGGCAGTGATCAAGCCTTTGATCCCAATTATCAACTCAATTTGTTCAGTTGGTTGATTGAAGAGTAAACTTACTGTTTTGCATTGTTATTATTGGATTACTTGTTTGTTTTTTTCCTTATGTAATTGAAATCATCATTTAAAAAAAAAGTCTTTTGACTGAGCTACTTCTTTAAAGGACAAACAATTTCAAGCATAATATAAGCTTTCACTGTTATATGCTCTCTGCAGATTGACAAGACGGACGACAAGTCTCTAGAGGAGCGAGGCCGGATCATGATCTCGCTGAAGTACAGCTCGCAGAAGTGCGGCCTGGTGGTGGGCATCATCCGCTGCGCTCACCTCGCAGCCATGGACGCCAACGGCTTCTCCGACCCCTATGTCAAAACGTAAATGCAGAGTCGTATTTGTCGATACAGAATGTAAATCAAACGTAAATGTAATTCATTAAATAACTAATTATAATTAACGTTGGATGCATATACTTAAGCCCCTGCCCCTTTCTCTCAAAATCATTAGTGCCTTTTTGATGGACTCTAAATGCTTAATATGCCACTGTGTAAAACTTAAATTATCCCTGGAAGGCAGGCACAGTTTGGTTGCATCTTTACTTTTATAAAATGCCTTTTGAACACCAGCCTGATTGCACACACAGTGATGCTTTCAGTTTACGTCATACGACAGCATAACTGACTACCTGACTAGTTCCTAATGATCTGAGAGTTCTGCTTGGCTCATATCGCTGCAACATATGAAATAAAAATGCTGGTCCTACACCATTGAGTGATTTATAGACCAGCAATAGTATCGTCAACTCTATTCTGTAACAGACTGGTAGCCAGTGTAAGGATGTCAGAATGGGGGTGATGTGTTCTTTTCTTTTACTCATAGTGAGACTCTGGCAGCTGCATTTTAAATCATCTGAAGCTGTCTGACATTTTGGGTGACATGTTTGTCTTACTTCCAAGCTTTTCTGTCTAGCTAACTGTTGCCATCACACAGTGTTTAGGCACAGGTTTGCTTTTGGAGTAAAGCAGAGTAAAGTGGTTAAATGAATGGTTCGGCAAAAAATCGAATTTATGCAATTTTCCAGATTATGCCAGATGTAGTCAATCGGCTAAGGCATGGAGTCCAAATCTGCTTCTTTAGTTTAGAACTGGAGCAACAAGCCTAACATTTGCAACAAACACTAGAACTCAAAAGTCACCCAAATAACCCAAATTCTGCAAAACTTCATGCAAATATACATCACCAAAACATCATTCCACCCACTCAAACCATATCATTAAAGTTGTCGAACTAGCTGGTGAGGTTTAGGAGGCAGAATGACTTACTGTGAGCTATAAAAATGAACAAAACTGCTAGAAGCCGACGTTCTTTTAGTTTTTCCTTCAGAAATACATAAACAAAGATTTTCCCTGACATGTGTAGTTATTTAAGGGTCTTCACCAAGATAACATGACATAATGCAGTTTAAAAATAAACTTGTTTTACTGTCAAAAATAGTACTTGGAACAAAAATACAACAAAATATATTAAGGTTTTGATGAATAAGAGTCAAATGTATAAAAATACAAAAGTTTTTAAAAATATCAGATAAACTATAGAGTACTACTGCTAATTAACATTTAAGGAAATAGTATGTTTGTGTGTTGTGTGGGCCGGCCAAGTGAGCAAAATAATCAAGCACAACTGTGTTTTCCTCTTGGGAAAAATAAGGGTGAAATGACACACTATGCATTTGAAAGACGAGCTAGATAACTTCATTTGGCTACTGAGCCGTTTGATATTTGTTCAGCTCACGTTTATTTATGTGTCCCCTCTGGTTTAATAATGTCCAATGCACTGTAACTACACACATGCGTGTCATAGATACATTTACCATTGCCTTATTTAGGCAGAATAAGTTCAACACTGTAGTTTAACTGCTCATTAGCGTTAGTTGTTTTCCACACACAGCAACAGGTAGCTTTGTGGGTACCCTAATTTAGCAATGAACAGTGTTATAAGCCACTGTAAGTGATGTTGCCAGAAAATTTTTAAAGTGACAAGCGAGGGAGAAAAGATGGGACCACTGTTTGTTTACTCACTATGACTGCCACAGTTTTATAAATAAGTCTACAATCAAGTCGACGCTTCAAACTACACCACTCAACTACCATAACGTTAAACACAGACTAATTTTGAGGTTTGCCTGACAGCGCGAGCTTTTGTGTTACTTCAGCAAAAGTAGGCATGGCTGATATGAATGTTGCCAGGCTTGTTTAGGCTAAGAGGAGAAGTGATGGGGATATTTTTATTATTAAATGTTCAAGTAAAGTTTTTCATGTGAACTTGAATTTCACGTGAATGCAGATGATCTCTGTTGTAGGATACTCTGCTCGACTCTACTTGGGTCTGCTGATTGTTGTGATTTGTGGCATTGCAAACACGCGTGTTGCCAACAGGGAAGTTGCAGAGTGTCCTCTGATGGACAGACTATGCAAAGACAACACTCATAACATGGTTGATAGTTTTTTTTTTGTCATAATTTCGGCCTTTATAAATGCCTGTTCATCTGCAATTACCTTATATCGACTGATAATATTGGGCTCTACTATGAACACGGTGACAAGTCTATGCGGCCTTAACTTTCAGGTTTGTATTTTTGCAGCCTGGGTGACTGTGTCTAGTGTCTGTTAGCAATGTTAGCCTTGTAGATCTGGTTCTAAATAAAGAAGCAAAGTTTGGGCTTCAGGCATGTCTTGGCTTATCAACTACACCTGGGTAAGTCGGAAGTCAGTTAAATTAGATTTCTCACCAACTATTCCTTGAAATGATGGTTGAATAAAGAGTTTGTAATTATTTAATTCATTTATTAGGATTAGGATACAGAGTATCACAATATTACAGTAAGTCTGACTGTAGTGGTCTTTCCATACTGAAGAAATATATGATAATGATATGAACTCTTCCAGAAGTGCCCCCACAAATTGCCCTTTTGAAACACCTCAGCCCCTGCCCTCATGAAACTCTTTGCACACCAATGGTAATTACGTAAACATGGGTAAATTTGTATATCAAAACTATAGCAAAATAACAGTAATAACTCTTGACTTAATTATCTGTTTTTCTGTTGTGTTGACATACACTCATTATTAAGGCCTTCAAGAGCCGGGTCAGTTGTGTTAGATTAGGTACAGTTAGGTTAGGGTAATAAATGTGCATGGGGTTCCTATGACTACAACTTAGTAAGTAATTGCACTGGTTGCAGTTTCTGATTCACAACAAGCTTGATATTCAGAGCACTGTGGCATCATCAAAGCAGTGAAACTCGTTGTTACACTGACAAATAAGCCTCCAAATCAGCATATTGGAGCTTATTCAGGGGGACAAAGAATGCGTATATTTAAAATCAAAGTCGGAAAGCCACAGTACAGAGTTCATTGGAGTTCTTTGATGTCAAAATATGTAGAAAACAGATCAATGGCAATGAATGGAGGCAATCAATAAGGAGCAATATTCTGAGGAGCTGTTCAAAACTCGATCCAGCTGCTCTGAGCTCAGCTTATGCCTGAAGCTGTACTCTTGGATAAACTAACAAGATGTTCAGCTTCTGAAATTAGCATGCAACCATCAGTGCCCAATTTACACCTGGGGGGATTCAGAGCGATGAGGCCAGAACTCTTCCCTCTCTAAGACACATGAAGCCATACAGGGCAAAATACGAATGGGACTCATCCGGACAATTATGAGTAATGAGTGAGAGAGGTTTTCCCTCTGCACTTAGACACTTCAGTGCATAATGGATTTATCGCTGTCTTCTGATGATGATTAACGTGAGCTGATCACAAAGTAAAGATGCCCCCAGCCTTTACTTTCTAATCTGTCATGACTTAAGTGTTCTCTCAAGTTATGGTGTTTGTCTATGTTTGTATGTACAGTATTGTACAAAATCAGAGACCACCCTTTTGTTTCCAGTCCAGTGGCTATTAAATACAAAATATTAATTTTTAGTGTCAAAAGGAGCAGAAAACATATTTAAGAGAAAATTACACAGAATCAGATTTTTCACTATTTATTGTGTCCACAATTTGCCTTCATTACAGCTTCCATTCTTTGCAGGAGACTTGCTTTCAGGATTTCAAAGAGATATTTTTCCATACCTCCATAGTTTAGTCTTTTCTCCTCTCTCTCAAAGATGAATGTCTTAAGTGCTGTTTATCTGATGGTAACAGTTTTGGTGGTCTACCAGGTCTCACACAGTTGTTAGGGACCCCATTTTATCTAGACCTTCTAATAATTTTTATAAGCTCCAATTTTGGAAACTCCTGTTTTTTTTTTACTTATTTTCCTTGGACTTTCTCCTTCCTTATGCAAGTGCAATATCTTATCTGATCTAAGAAATTTCTTCTGAAAAATGAATAACTGGTCTTTTTTTTTTTGCACAGTACTGTACACAATCAACAGAGAAACTTATAGACCCATACACACCATTTGATTGTCATGTGTTCCTCACGAGGGCAAAATGAGGACATTTTCATATCCTCACTGTCATATCAAAACCTTGACACTTTTTTTTATTCTTTTTTAATTTTTTGTTTATCATTTGAAAATGGCAAGTGACTCTTATATTGTGTGAAGATTTCACAACAAGTGGACTAAGAGAAGAGGTCAGAAATTACTTAAAAATCTTGTTAAATAAACTTATATTTCCATGTCCTGAAAAGCTACTATTTTGCAAATATGTTTCTTCTTCAGGCAGCAATAATATATTTTTATATTTTCTACACTCTCATGAAAACATGTTTATTTTTGTTGTTTTTAATGACCTCTGTATTTTCAGTCGTCAGTGTTTAATTTTAAATTTAGATGAAATAATGATCTCCGCACAGAGAAGTGATTAGGATTCTAATCCCCCTCAAATTCTACTTGCATCACATTCTGAAATACAGGGGGGATTACTGCCAGGCCTTTTTATGTGCTGGAATGTCCAAACATCAATCAATTAGCAAGCGCGTCAGTCAGATTATACCGTAGCATTAGACAATGTGGCAGCCTATTTACTTTTACAATGCTTTTAAACCAGTTAATCCTGTTTGTTTCTCAAGAAGAGCTTAGTCAAGTACTGCCTGTGAATTATTCAATTAAGGCTAGTATTTCTGTCTAAAACCAGAGATTTTATTTTTGTCATTACCATTACCTTATTCCCCACTCCTTGTTCATCCACTCTAGATTTCATTATTTCCAGCCTCTTAATGGCTCTGTTTGTGGATTTGCAGCGACAGTGGTTATTATAGCCTAGTTGAGCTGAGAGTGCCATTTCCCTGTTTTAAAAGTGGAAAATGAAATGTGGCCGACTTACAGGCGGAGCTGCGCTTTTGATGAAGAGATCGAGAGACCCCATTTGAAAATGTGGCGCAGTTCATTTGACCATGAGAACAGCTGAGTAATGGGGTGCGCCACAAGTGCAATTACAGCAGCAAATGAAAATTCTGGGGCTTGAGGGGGTAAAAGATGGACATCAGAAACGGGCGGTCTCAGTAAGTGATAGATAGGGAGATGAGCAGTATTGTTGTGTTTTCGCCGGTTTCTCTTTTCTGTGGCATATGTGTTTATTAAAACCACAGTGGTTGTGCTTTTCTCAGTGTACAGAGCTTTTCCAAGTATGCAGGCTCCTGAGAGCGAGGCCCCCTGTGGCTTATAGAAGAACTGTTCCACTTGCTAAAGTAATCTAATTCTCTCTCACTCAGACGGAGAATTCTCAATGTATAAAATGACTTTTTTGAAACACTGTGCTATATTAAAATTACTCACTAAAGGATAACGAAAGAAAGAAATGAAGGATAATAAGCAGATTGGACACTGAGTGGTAAATGAGCAATGAAAAGTGGCATTTTGTCTAATACTCTAATGCTTAATAATCGGTAGGCTGCCTGGAAAATGCTGAGCAAAAGCCAGTAGGCCCTCAGCTTTGCTGTCAGCAGGCCAACAGTGGCCTTTTGTGTAGAGCTGTCCAAGTAAGTTAGCAGTTAGCAGTAGCTTAGCATGCTACAGCTTCACACAGCAATACAAGTTTGATTCTGGCTCTCTGATGCTCAATAACATGAGTTTACAGGATTCAGATCTGAGGGAGTCGACCTGTGTTTGTTGTGTATGAAACCATTAGCTAAGCTAGTCTTGCTCCACTGTCCTTGTTAGCACTAGAGGCAAATGTTAGCTTGGCAGGCTAAAACGGCTTTCTACACCATAACACAGGCTCGCTGTCTTCAAGTTAAGTTGATAAAGACTCAAATCTGAGTAAATGAAGACCAGAGACTGGAATTGGTTATATTGTATACCATATTTAGCTTCTCTGTGCTGTCCTTAGCACTGTTCAACATTTAGCAGTTGTTGTTCAGTTTACAGGTTAATATTTATTGGCTGATGAATCAAAAATCTTGCTAGGTTATTTTCTGATTATTAAAGCAGGAAACCCCCTGGACAGGTCGCCAGTCCATCGCAAGGCAGCCATACAGACACATACAATCACACACTCCAGGGGCAGTTTAGTATCTTCACTTAGCCTGACTGCATGTGTTTGGACTGTGGGTAGAAACCTGAGCACCTGGAGGAAACCCACGCAGACATAGGGGAGAACATGCAAACTCCACACACAAAAGACTCTGGCCACCCGGCCTGGGAATCAACCCCAGATTCTTCTTGCTGCCCTCCCCTGCACCACCATGCAGTAGAATCTAACGTTAACCTAAATTTTAGATTAGATCAACTAATTAAGAATGTCAAATGAAAAATAATGAATATATCACATTTCAGGTTGTGAAGGATTCATGCTTCAAAAAACTCTTTCCGTGTGTGTACATGAGCGTCCCGATACAGATTTTAGAGGCTCTGGTCCAGTGCCACTTGTTCCCAAAAAAAAAAAAAAACGGTTCCCTTTTGAGCCACTTTCATTAATAGCTCCTGGGCCTTAATTGGGCAACAACACACCTCAATAACAGACAAACACTGAGGTGCGATTTAAACTGTGGGAGAAAGCTGACCTCGCAGCATGAAGCCTCTTTAATCAGCGTCTGTGGGCCAAATCTCTGTGTCTGGTGGCCTTTGTAGCAGAGAGAGACAGTCTCATTAGTGAAAGGACCGTGGGGGCAGCACCAGGGTCACCTGTTGCACCATCCTTGTTTACAGCAAACTGCAAAGGGAGTCTCTTCTCATATTTTTCTTAGCTTTTATGCAGCAGATTACATGTTCACTTCCTATGTGCCACTTGCTTCTGTTTAGCTTCCGCTGCTCCTAATGGTCAGACCATGAAATTGTATGCAGTGACAGTACCAGAGTGCCCTCAGGTGGACGTAGTAATTTTTACAAGACACTTAAACCGATGGGTGCTAGGCTTTGCTTGGTGAACTGTGTACAGCTCTATTCATCAGTGCATGAAAAGCCCATGGAAGAAAGACTTGAAAGATTATGTTCATATACAGTTGTATGCAACAGTTTGGGCACCCCTGGTCAGACTATAAGTGAAAATAACTGAGCACATCCTCTCCAGTGAAAACACTTCTGCATTTTAATATACAATTAATCAACAAAACATAATTTGGCCAGGGGTGTTCAAACTTTTTCATACCACTGTACTTGTGTGTTCTTCACAATTTATTTCAGATACTTGAAGCCGGATGAGAACAAAAAGTCAAAGCACAAGACTGCTGTAAAGAAGAAGACCCTTAATCCAGAGTTTAATGAGGTATTTTCCACAGCACTTTGATATCGTGATGTCTCACCAGAATGTTTCATCAGCGCTATTGTAGTCGTGTATCGGAGGCTCACTACAGGACAAACGGTAACATTTAAAGTTCGGACACACCTGATAGTATTATCTAAAGACTTAAGCTTACAAAGTTTCCAAGTTGTTTCTAAGAAATCTTTTAAAAAAATAAATGCCTATGTGTGAATTTATGCGCAAAAACAAACAATAATTCAGTTTAAACAGTTTTTTTAACAAGTACCTTTCATTTAGGACTTTTCATTTGAAAGTCAGACTTGAAAAATGTTATGTAAGAACTGTAATCATTATATCATCCTAATTACTGTGAGTTTCTCTTTAAAGGTTTCTCAGAGTTAATGCATTTCAGCCAGTCAGTTCACTTGTGATGAGGGCGGCTGGGGGTATAAACAACCCTGTTTTGGCAGAAGACCAATTTTTTGGACGTCATTGTAATCCCATATAAACTATGTCTAGTTTGGATGTATTCATTATTATTATAAAATGTGGAAAACAGTAAAAAGAAACCTGTTCTATGAGGTGGTGTGTCCAAAATCTAGACTGGTAATGTGTACCTTGTAGCTGTAGAATTGAAATTAACTTCAGTTTTCAACCTTTACTGCTGTTTGTTAATATCATTTCAGTAATATCATCAGGTTCATTCTACCTATTACCTATTATCTTTACAGTTGTATGCAAAGGTTTGTGCGCCCCTGGTCAAATTCCATGTTTTGTTGATTTTCTAAGCAAAAATAAGTAACACGCCTTAAAAAAGTGTAATTTGATTGGCAATATTCAAATTTTTGCATATAACTGTACACCATGTGTGGTAACGTATAAATAATAATTAGAATTTTACTGCCAGTGTTTTGTAATGGTGATAATTTTATCTTATTTTCTTTATCTCGTTTGTGTAGGAGTTCTTCTATGAGATTAAGTACGCTGAGCTCAGTAAGAAAACTCTCGAGGTGACTGTGTGGGACTATGACATTGGCAAATCCAATGACTTTATAGGTAAGTCACAACTAGCTTCATCTTGTGGTTTCTAGCGATTATATGATGGCTCCTACAAACACAGTCATTTGTGTGAAGTAATTTTTAACTTACATCACACAGCTGCAGCATCTTGGAACAGCCTGGTCTCAGGCTCATTTAGTGACTCAAATTGAAGTTTTAATGCACTTTCTTCACCCTTCATCCAGGTGGAGTTTCTCTAGGCATCAACGCCAATGGAGAACGCCTGAAACACTGGTTCGACTGTCTGAAAAACAAAGACAAGAAAATTGAGCGCTGGCACACACTGACAAATGAACTACCTGGTTCAGGCTTCAATGATTGAAGAGAGCCAGGCCCTGAAGAGTTTCCTCCCTCTCCTCCACTTTCCGTGCAATGTCCACTTGAGCCCAGCCTTTGTTTGGCACCTCCAGCACTCCAGAGGTTTTACAGTTTGGAGATGAGTACCAAAACTACTGCACATGCTCCATCTCTATATGTCCCTTCCCTGGTGTTGACCTTGCTGTTTGATCCTGTGCTGTGGCTTTTGGGCTTATATAAGGGTCTTTGGTCAGCATATGTTTATTCAAACCTGTTGAATATGGAGAGGTGTGGCTCTCACCAATGGCACAGGATCCGTTTTGGACTGATCTCCTGTGTACAAACATTTAAACATACTGTTAGGCCTACTGTTCACTCTGCTCTTTCAGCTCTCTCTGACATTTAGTGTGTATTTGAGGATGTTGTTTACAAAAACCGTCGATGGATGTTGATACCACAAATGTATATAATGGCACCATGGGGGCTCAAAAGATGTATCGTTTTGAAAAGGCAGAACTGCTCAAGAGCTCTGGTCAAGAAACCATCTACTGTTTACTTCTAGAATACAGTTTGAAACTGATGCCTATCTGAAATATTTAGGGCAAAAAAAAATCTCGGTATGCCACAACACGATTGTGAGGATATTGCTGTTTTTCACTGGAATTGGCAACGAAAAAAATGACAGAAAATTGAATGGATTTGGGAGTTTTTAATTTCAGTTTATTCTCCAAGCATAGCAGTTTTAGTGTTTTTGTTGTGCTTTTAAACTCACGTAAGAACCCAGTGTCAGTGTTTATTGATGAATGTGTTTTAATTAGCCACCCTTTTCTACAGTAACTTTAAAAATGACAGCTGGAAGTGATGAAAAAGTGATGGACCATCGTCCACCCTGTTTACATATTAAGCAAACAAAAAAATGCCTACAGAACAGGAAAGACACTACAGGTAAGGGTCATTCATTACGGATTTGGTCCATTGATTTCCCTAGTTATTAGGGTCAGCGTACAGTAATGCTGGTGGAGATGCTCGCAGAACACTGTATGTACTAAGACAAGCCCCATATATAAAGATATACAAACCTGAGTTTGTGAAATGCCAATAGATACAGAAAGCAGTGGCTAGTTAATTTTGTTTGACTGCAATTAGTTGAAAACAGTTCAAAAACACAGTATTTGATTATTTACCTTATTTACCTTTACCTTTTTTTACCTTTACCTCATTGATTTGATACCTGCAACACAAAAAAAAGTTGACAGACACGTTTACCACTGTGTTTCATCGCATTCTTATCAAAACACTTATTAATTTGGTGACTGAAGACAACAGTTGATTCAGCTTTGAAAGCAGAATTTTTGTCTTTCAGCTGTGCGGCTGTACAGGCCTTTGTTGTTGTATTTTGTGTTCCATAATGCAGCACACATTTTCGCTGCGAGACAAGACTGGACTGTAGGCAGGCCAGTCTAGCACCCACATTCTCTGATTACGCAGCCATGCTGTTGTAACGTGCAAAATGTGCCTTTGCATTGCTGTGTTCAATAAGCATGGGCGTCCCTGAAAAAGATGTCATCTAGAAGGCAGCATATGTTGCTCTAAAATGTGTATATTTTTCAGTGTTAACCCCTTAAAATCCCAGCCTTATTATTCAGTAACTACAGGGACTTCAGTGCAAACTGGCTGAGCTATTCTTAGGTTATAGAAGTGTCGAATAGAACTTTGGCCATTTAAGGGGTTAATGATGCCATCACAGATGTGCAAGTTAGTCATGCCATGGGCACTGATACCTCCCATACCACAACAGACCCTAACTTTTGAACTTTATACTGGTAACAATCTGGATGGTCCTTTTCTGTGGCCCAGAGAACACAACGTCCATTATTTCAAATATGTCTCAAATTTTGATTCCTCAAACCACAATACACATTTCCACTCTGAATCAGTCCATTTCAGAGCTCGAGCAAGAGAAGCTTAACTTTTTTTGGAACATGTTGCCAGCATCAATTTCAGAATGAGCGCATATTTACAAAAAACAATTAAGTTAAGAAGGTAAAGCATGAAATATTTTGTCTTTGTACTGTTCTCGTTTAAATACATGGCAAAGTGGATTTACAAATCACTGCTTTCTGTTTTCTGCATTTGTATTTCACTTACTGTCTTAACTTTTTGGAATTTAGGATTGTATCATCATTTAGATTCATAATTAATTATTTTCTTTTAAATTGATCAACCATTTTTTAGTCAAAAGATGGTAGTTTCATTCATGTTTTGTTAATCTCACAATCTGCTAATAGTGCTGTCACAATATAAATACAGCAGTTTTAATTTGTATCAGCATGCAATCAGTGGTTTTGTTGTTTTACTAAATCAATATTTATTTGTGTTCATTTTCTAGGCTGAAACTTCTATTTTTGTGTAGTACGTTTTAAACCGTTATGAATATGGATAGTGAATGTCCACTTTCAAGTAGTTTATAGAGGAACTCTAAATATGGCCCAGGTATGTGAAACTGAGGTCTTAGTACATTAACCTTTGCTTGGAAAGACAAACCTTCTCTCAAAGCACTCGGTGCAACAGCCAGACTTGTGACATCTTTTGTAACCTGTTTGCCTTTGTACTCAAATCTCTATGGCATAAAAAATTTGCATGCAATGTTATTACACTGTCATTAAACTGACTTTGCTTAATGTCATCCAATCGACTTTGCTTAATATTTGATACTGCTGTTCTCTTCTGTAAAACGAAATCACTCTGAATGCTACAAGAATGTCAGTCTTTTCTTCTTGGATGTTTTTGTACCTATGAAGGCTGTCGCATTGCCTGTCAGGCTGTGATTGCATGTTACAAAGAAAAAAAGATTATATATGTCTTGTTCTGTTCCTTTTTTTAAGACTCAGGCAATTGTTTGCATTCTAGTGGTTCTCTGATATATTCCTACTCCTGGTTCACCTTAACTCTTGCACCGAATGGCCGAATTATCGTGCCTTTTCTTTTGTAACAGTGTGTTTTTTGCACCGCTCACTTTACAGAGATTCCTAGATGGATATTAGCTTTTAATATGGAAAATATATGATAACATTTGGCACATTTATATCCCTGTTCGTGTTCAACCGTCGGAATATTGTATCATTCTGAATATGCCGCTCGATGACACATTGTTGGTGTGTCCTTTACACTGTGTGACTGTGCTGGGCTGTGTTGGAGTGCAGGGCTGAGGTGGAGGATGCTCATACAAAGAAACTACAGATTCTACTTTCTGCTTTTTTAGCACCATTACACATTAAACTAAGGGCAAACTAAAGCCAGCTCTGTCTGTGGAAGCACAGAGCACATAGACAACACAAATACTTATGTTTGGCTTCTGAATAACACATGAATTATTGATTTATAGCATATGTGCCTGGTGTGAAATATTTCTGAATTTGACTACATTAGGATCAACATTTTAAAATTACATTTATCATTCACTTCATTTAGAACTTGAATCTGCATGGCTGAAAATTGTGATTCGATAAAAAAAAACCCAAAAAAATGAACAGAGAAAAAGACAATTCAGAAACCAGAATCTGTTGTTTCCTTTATGTCTCTTTTAAAAATGTTCAAGTATTATCTCCAGTGTGTTTTTTACTCGGGTGGATGATGTGCTGTTTATGTGTTCTGAACTGGAAACCCATCTCTAATAAAGTAGAGAACCAACCTAAAATCCCATTTCTTTATTTATCCTTTCAGAAACAGTGTCAGAGCATAACTGCAATAACACGAGAGCATTTTTAATGTAAAACCAACTCTTATCCTCTTTGTTCCATCAGTTTCCTCAGGATGCATCTCTAATATTAACACTACAGACAAAATGATAAAATCTAAACTTTCTGAACTGTTTAAACCTTCTGAATTGATAAAATATAAAATATCTGCAGCAATATAGATATACAAAAAGATTACAACTCATTGTCTGCATCACCTCATTGTAACATCACTATAGGTCATCTGTCAAGGTCCAAACAACTCATTAAAGTCTAAGTCATTCATGTTATGATCCCTGGTTATAATATTCCTTATGTGTGCTTTGTGCTGGTGTTTTGTGTTTTCTCTCTTCTATGTTGCATTATGTGCATGTTCGTGAATGACCACACGAGGGTGCCCTTCTGTATAAAAGAGGTCAGTGTGCCACTGCCTGGGGGACATTCAGAGGTCTCTGCCTGGAAATACACCTGTCCAGGCCAGCCTGGCACTCTTTACTCCACTCTGCTTCTCTTCTATTGTTAAATACGTGAAAGCTTTACTAGACTTTGTGAATTTGCGAAAAGTAGGGGACGAGTGCCATTTATTCTGATGACCCTTTCTCCTGTGTTTAATGTAGGTAGTGTGGGTAGCTTTTTCTATTTTTGTTTCTGTTTGTATTTCAAGTTTATTTAATTTAACACTATCAGTTGTTTATGTGCAGGCACGTCCCTGAAGCCATCATCCCATTGAGCTTCCAGCTCAGCATCTTGAAACTTGCAATTGAGATTTTTAAGGAAATCTAAATGAACCTGAGCTGTTTTCTGGTTTAAATGGTGTCTGGTGTTTGGTCTGGCAGCAGGTCTGCGGAGAGAGCCTATTCTCATCTTCTGTTAAGGCCTGACCCTAGACCCCAGAACAGAGTGGACTGATGTTTTCTAGAGAAACATTTACATTTACAACATTTAGCAGACGCTCTTATCCAGAGCGACTTACAAAAAGTGCTTTGTCTACCTAGAGAAAGTATCTTTGCTAGTTAAAATAGGTTAGAGAGAAAGCTAGTCCTGAGCTCAGATACTGCTAGAAACAAAAGCGCATGTTGATACGTAGAGAAAAAGGAACAGAATTAAGCACAGCACAGTGGTGATAGGAATCAGACATCTAAAGTGTTTGTCTCTAAAAGCTCCCTCACAGAAAAGTATTACACAAAATGGCTATGAATGCGCTGCCTGGTGCCTGTAACATTGTTTTATGGTAGTTTTGAGAAGGTTTTGGCTTAAAATCTACTTCATTTAATTCATTAATGGTGGAGAGGTACATGGAGGACGTTCAAAGGTAAAACTCCCTAAATAAAAAGTCTGTTTTTATCATTAACCACACTATAAATAAAGCTCAGAAAATGTGTAGTTATGCTGGTGTTTTTTTATCTGTAAAAATAAAAAACCTTCTAGCAACTTTCTGAGCTTCCTTTGTGAGCAATTCATCCAGCTTTGTCGTTGATATTTGGTGAGCACTTTAACAAGTCGCAAATTAACATGAGCACACGATACACTGAGAAACTAACAGTAATGTTTTATTCCTTAAACTGTGTAATCTCACAGAAACCCTTGATTTGTTTTGAAAATGTTTTTTAAACAGTGAAGTAGTCATTTTTGATCATTACTTGTAGTGATGATTTCTTGACTTCTACTCAGTGCAGTTATGAAGCCGAATAATTAATGCTGAAAAAGCCAGATGACTCATCAGGGACAGCAGCTTCTCAGGAGCCAAAAAGGCCTTTCTCAGATCTTCATCATCAATCGTGTGGTACATGATGTCATCACTCATGACAAATACTGTTTATTCAATAACTTAAGAATTAAAAGAGCGCAAACATTTCTTTTAACAGCACAAATGAATGAGACTGATTTGGTGCGATTTGGAGGTTGATGGGGGGGCTGAACGACGTCACATATTAAAAATCTTTAGAGTATAAATTGATAATGAAAACAACACAAACATTTCTTTTAACGCACAAGCCAGCACAAACACAGCACAAATAAATGAGACCGTTTTGGTGCGAGTGAGCACTGTTTTGGGGAGATGGGGATCAGCACAAATGAATAGTATTTTTATTTCATTTCTGACCACATGGGGGGGCCAGCTTCACGGAGGTCTAGTTTCATGGCAGGTGTTGGGATAAAAGGGAACTAAAGAAGCTACTAGAGTATGTGATCATATTTGCACAATGAAGATGTCACACTTTCACAGTGTTTAAAAAGTTTAGAAAAAAGCTTTGTATTGTTAACCCAGAAAAGTTTTTAAAAAATTACAATAACAACAGTAGCAATAATAGTAGTAATAGAAACAAAAATAATAATTATTATAATTATGTATTATTGCTGTGCTTTATTTGTATTGTTACTATAATAAATACATTAACTTTTGTGACATTGGGATATCATATCATAATCATCTGAATACGAGAGAACACTGTGATATAAATGTAAGTTCATATCACACACCCCTAAACATAATACATTGTGCTGTACTTTAAGTCTTGTATATTCAAAATTTGAAGGGAGGCTGGTTACTACGTTTTTTTTATTTTCTACGAAAATTAGTTTTTTTACAGTGAAGAATTGTTTGGGGAAAATCAAACACACACAGTTTACTCCAAATGATCAGCCAAAACATGTTCGGTGTTCAAAGTTTCTTTAGTTTTGCACTGCAGCTACAAGGCTAGTGTAGCTAATGTAAACCTACCCCAGCAACTGGCGCTGTGCACACTGCATGACTAAATCACCCACATCTCAAACCACACTGAGTTTGTTAAGCACTCTCCAGTAAACGTGTGTTGCTTAGTTATTTATGAAACTGGTTTTTAGTTATGTGCTGTACTTTTGTCCATTTTATAGACTCTGAACACCAAATAAGTCTGATAGATTAGGGATAAATTATACATATCTCATGTATCAAATTATACATAGTTCTCCCTGTGTCTGCGTGGGTTTCTTCCGGGTACTCCGGTTTCCTCCCACAGTCCAAAGACATGCAGTCAGGCCAACTGGACTTGCTAAATTGCCCCTAGGTGTGAATGTGTGTGTCAATGTTTATGTCTGTCTGTCTGCCCTGCGATGGACTGGCGACCCGTCCAGGGTGTATCCTGCCTTCTGCCCAATGACAGCTGGGATAGGCTCCAGTACCCACCGTGACCCAGAAGGATAAGCGGTTTAGATAGTGTGTGTGTGTGTGTGTGTATACATATCCTTTGAGAATAGAGAGT